TTATTCAGCCTTTAAAAGGAAGGCAATTCTGACACATGCTACAACATGGATGAACTTCGAGGACATTATGTTAAGTAAGATAAGCCAGTCACAAGAAGTCAAATACTGCGTGATTCCAGTTATATGAAGAGACTAGACTGCGTAATTCCAGTTATATGAAGAGACTATAGTAGTCAAATTCATAAAGACAAAAAGTAGGATGGTAGTTGCCAAAAGCTAGGAGGAGGGGAGAATGGAGAATTATTGTTTAATGGGTATATTATTTCAGTTTTGCAAGATAAAAAGTTCTGGAGATTCATTGCACAATAATGTGAATCTACTTAGCACTAGTAACTGTATACTTAAAAATGGTTAAGATGGTAATTTTATATTATGTGTATTTCACCTCAATTAAAATGAATAAATAAAATGTACAGAGTACAAGCTCTTTTCCTATTAGATGAAAATGACTTTGAGAAAGAAGTGAAATTTCAGCCGGTAATCCTTGACAACAACAACAACAAAAAATGGAATTGGGAGCTGGAAGTCCTGGGAAGGGATTTAGAGGCAAAGGGAGCACCATTCAGAAATCTGATCAGAAGCCATTGGCATGCTCCCAGTGGATTCCTGACATATTGAGGAATGGCACTAGGAATAATGGGAAAGCATTGACAGCAGAATTCTTGGAAGGTCTAGAAGGTGGGAAACTGAAGAGAGCAGGGGTCTTGAAGCGAGGGGGTGGCTTTGGGCATGGATGAACATGAAGGTAATAGCGAGCCACCGTGGGAGTTTGAGGAGAGAGGTGACACTGTCAGAACAGCAGGTGAGAAGAGAGAATTTGGCAGCTGCATGACTGCAGGGGAGCCATGCTAGAAGCAGGGAAGCCAGTGAGGAATGGATTGTGATTATTAGTCTTGGAAAATAAGCATTTCCTTGCCATTAAATTGATCGTATTTACCCAGTCCTACAATAAAATGGCTCAGTATTTTACAGTAAGAAGTCTCCAAGGAAACCCCAATATTCAAGTCCCAGGTGCAAAATGAAAATATAGTAGAAAGCCTTAAAAGAGAGAAAAAATGGAGGAGAAATATAAAGACTAACATATCAGTTTAGTGATTTGTATTAGAGAACTAGCATTCTTTTCTTCAAATAAAAAATAGCTGGACTATTTAACTCTAGCAAAAAGCAGTTTTTATAACATTGATGAGCATTTCTTCTTAAGGCTTTTAAATCACCAAAAATTCTAATAAGACAGAGTAGCATTCACAGAACAGTACAGAGAAGGAAAGTACCAAACATCTTATGGAACAATAAGGGTCCCTTTTCCATATTATGGAGTGTGGGGTATGAGTGAGTTAAAGGAAAAGGAAAGTGTATGTGTGTGGGTGCATGTCTGCGCATACAGTGGGAAACATAGGAGAGAACCAAACAGACCCCAGGAGAAAATGACAGTGCTGACTTATATGTAGGCTTTATTCTCAAGGATGTCTGCTGGCCAAAAATGAGCTCACAAAATAGCATGAATGTGGCTAAAATTAAGCCTATATTTAAGCACAAGTTCCAAACACTGTTTTGACGTTTCAATAAATACATGTCTAAAACAGGATGAACACACTTAGTGAAAGGATTAAGAGGATTAGGAATGATATATGTAGAGTGCCTGGAATAATGCCTGACACATAATAGGTCCTGACTAAACTAACAGTATAATGAAAATGGGTTGTAGTGTGTGTGTGTGTGTGTGTGTGTGTGTGTGTGTGTGTGTGTGTGTGTAATTGCTTTAAGCAAATTTACCTTGTCCCATACCTTTGCAACAATATGCATTTACTGAGCATCTATTATCTGCCAAATGCTAGGTACTAAAGGGATATGGCAGGGTCTCTGCTTTCCAGAGCCTCATCTATTGATATCAAGAAGGTCAAGTACACAGGTGAAAATACCAGTTGATGGCAGTGGGAGGACCACACCACAGCACCCAGGCCCGGTGCTGGTCAGCCTGTGGAAGTGCAGCACTGCCCCCTACTGGAAGTAGAGGGCTTACATTACCAGAGTCAGAGATGGCCCTCTTCCCCCCTCCCCCACCACCACCCCCAAATTGCTCAGCCATAGCACTTCAGAAAGTGGGAAAGAGGAGCGACAAGAACTTTGTCATTGGACAAGGTCAGGGGTGACCAGTTGACCCAGGAAGGACAGACATCTGCCAGTTCCCCCTTTGTAGGCACAAGCCATATCCAAACCCACAGGGAATCCTAGCAAATGCAAAGATCCAAAGAACTGAGGGTGCTATTGCCAGAACAAGAGGCTCAATGAGAAGAATGAATGAGTCTCCACACCCCCACAGGCCAGCCCACATCACTACTTTGATCTATTGCAAACATGTTCAGCAACCTCCAGTGTTCTCCGATATGGACCATTTTCCATTCAGCCAACCATGTTCATGCCCTTCAGCTACATGATCACCCCCATTATGTCAGATATTCCCGGTTCCATCGGGGAAGGTAGAACATAGACATAGAGTAACATGTAATTTCACATGGTGCTGCTCAGGGAGCATTAACATTAGGTGGGTTGTCAAGGGAAGTCATACAAGGATGTGAGGCTTCAAGTAAGCCTCAATAGAAAAGTCCTCTGACAAGGGAGAGAAATGGAGGAGCCACAGGAAGACTTGAGTTTATGTGGAGGATTTGGGGGAGAAAAACAAGTCAGGAGCCAGTTCTCAAAGCTACATAGTGCCAGGCTCACTCTGTAGTCAGTGGATTCTTTTTTGAGCTGAGTATCATCACACAGAAAATGGAATCTGAGGAATATTCATTGGCAATTTCAACTCGAGGTACCCCGGTGGAATTCTTTTTCTTGTCCCTCCCCATTTCATAAAGTCTTCGGCTGAGTTTATATCTCCCTTAATAATACCACCACCCACCAATTACCCTACATAGAAACTTGGAAGTCTTCCTTCACTTTTCCTTATTCCTGATCTTGATATCTATGCAGACACTAAGTTTTCTCTATACTGTCTTCTCTAAATATCTCTCAAAATCCTCCCCTCTCCATCCCTGCCAGCACCTCTATAATTCAGGCTCTCACCATCACTTGGTCATTTTGCCTCAAATTTAGTAGCCTTCATTTTTTCCTCTGCATTGCAGTGGTTGCTCTCAAATTCAAATATAATCATGTTACCACCTATTACACTAATTTATCAGCTCCCTGTTGCTTTCCTAAGGAAGTCCTTGGCTTGTCACATGATCTAGTACTCACCTATCATTCCCCGTTCTAAATAACTTCTGTTCTAGCCTTATCAAACTACCTGCTGTCCCTTGTTCCAGGCTGTTTCAGACATGGGGGTCTTTGCATATGCTGTTTCAACTTCAATGGGCCAGATTGTTTTATACCTCAGGAGCTTTGCATATGTTGTTCCATCTTCTTGGACCACCATTCTATTTCCTGCATGTCCTTCCTCCACTTAGTATTTACCTATTCCTGGAGACAGGAATCCAGGCACAAGCATTACCTCTTCTATGAAGCTCCTCGGGCTGATTTTAGGACTCTTGTTCCTCTCTCCATGGTGCACTCCACTACCTTCATTACAGCATACATCATGCTGGATAAACTGAGGACTTGGATGTCTGTTTTTCCCCACTGGGCCATTTTATGCAGCCATTTCCTGCATGTCCTTCATCCATTTAGTATTTACCTATTCCTGGAGACAGGAATCCAGGCGCAAGCATTACCTCTTCTATGAAGCTCCTTGGGCTGATTTTAGGACTCTTGTTGCTCTCTCCATGGTGCACTCCACTACCTTCATTACAGCATACATCATGCTGGATAAACTGAGACTCGGATGTCTGTTTTTCCCCACTGGGCCATTTTATGCAGCCCTGTGTCTCCAGCACCTATCAGAGTTCTGGCTCCATGGTAGATTGTCAATAATTGCATTGCATTTAATATAAGAAAAACATACACAGATGCTTTTTAAAAATCTGTGTCACACAGAAAGAAAACTTGGAACTCTCAAGATCTTAGAACCTGAGCATCCCTCTAAATGGAAACTTTCAAGAGCAAAATGGAGCCATAACCTGGAAAGAAGTTTTGTTTGAGACCCACGTGACTTGACCCGTTGTGTACCAGCACTTATAGGGTTAGATGATAGAAGTAGAAATATTTATATGCCCACATATATGTGAGTTCGCTTTATTCTGATTGTATTCTGTCTTCTTGGGCTTAGCATAGCCCCCAAGTACTTCAGTTTGTCATATATGAAGGAACTGAAGTTATCTTGCAGCT